ATCTCCATCAGTTAGGAGTGGAAGAGGAGGAGGAGGGAGGGAGAGAAAGGAGAGGAGAAAGGTTGGTGTTTTTTCCATGTCTTTTGTCTACTGATAGACCTGATGAGATGACTAGTGAAGTGTACCAGTTTGGTTGGTGTCTACAGTGTACTAGTAAACATCATTTCTTTCCTCCTCTATACTTCCATGTCCTCTCATTGCATCTTGCTTTTAAAATGGCTCTACCCCGAGAAAATGACAAATTAAATCGTCGTTGTACATTTTGGAAGAATGGACTTTACTGGCCTAATGGTCATGGTGTAGGATCACTGGTAGAGATTGTGGATGAGAGCCAGTGTGTACTAGTAATGATGTCCTGTGAGAAAAGTGACAATGGCAATATGGTGTCTCTAAGAAGAGATGTGATAGGAAAGGTAATGAGTATTTATAAGGAATCCTGTCCCAGTCTAGAGGTAAATGAATTAGTTATTGATCCCAAAGAACTAGCCTATCCTATGAATACACCAAGAGAAAGGACAGTGTATAGTGTAAAAGATATACTGTCTGCTATTGACAAGAGAGAAGAGTTTGTAGTAAATGCTACTGGTACTAGACGTACAGGATTGAAGGAGATCCTACCTGATGAATCATTATCAGATATTAGTAACCTGTCACTATTAGGAGGACGTGATATTAAAGTAAGAATTAACACACAAACTGTTTGATACATTAATACAAGCACTAATAATCAAAAGGTCATAATTATCTTTATTTCTTATCAATAACTCAGTCTTTGTCATAATTGTGGGTTGTCATTGTGTGGCTTTTACTGCTAATAATATATACTTGTAACTCACCTTTTAGCAATACACTATACTGATTGATAAACAAGCATGGCTGTTATTATTAATCATTAATACTATTATTGTATAGGAAGTGATTGGAATAACTGAAGAATTCAAGACACCATTGACTCCAATAAAGCTAGGTATGTTATAATATGTACTATCACAATTGTCAAGTAGTGGGAGTGTAGACTGTACAGTGTATATACACATTATTAATTATTATTTTTATAGATATTAAAGATCTTGATATTGTCATTGAAGAGCTAACAATACTCAATCATTTACCTTGCCACACATGGCATGATCTTGGTCTTCAGCTAGGACTCTATCATCTTGAACTAAAAGACATCAATGAAGATAGTAATGGAGACTCTAAGAAGTGCTTCAGACAGTGTATGTCTGCCTGGTTAAGAGGAGAAGATAAAGTGAGAGAGAAAGGAGGTCCCAGTTGGTCATCATTAGCTACAGCACTGGATAAAGAAGGAAAGCATCACATTGCCACTAACATTAGAAATAAATATTGTCTTGATATTAAGGTAAGAATTACCGTATAGCAGGAAATTTTGGAGGGAATTAAATTTGGCAAATTTGGCATTTTGATAGCAATTCACCAAAATAAAATCCGCCATTTTGAGCCATTATACGCATGCTCAATGGCACGTGGCCACTAATTCGCCAAATTAAAATCCGCCAATAACCAAAATTTAGCAATTCGCCAAATTTTACTCCCTCCAAAATTTCCCACTATACAGTAACACACACTAACTGTTTTATACCATTAATACAAGCACTTAAAATCATAACTGTGCATTATTGTATAGGAAGTGGTTGAACTAACTGAAGAATTCAAGACACGATTGACTACAGTAAAACTAGGTATGTTATAATATGTGCTATCGCAATAGACACTTTTGTTAAGAGTTATCACTAATTACAAAAACGTCACTTCTATAGTAAATTTATCCTCCATTTTGTTTCACTTCTCCATTAAAATCAATGGAGAAACGGGTAGGTAGTTGTCTCGACATATTTTTAGAAATATTCTTTCCTTTTTTGTTGACCTGCATGAAAAAGCCTAAAGAATCACCTGTCAGCATTTACTGGCTCAGTAAAGAACAAAGTAACTCTGCATACAAGAACCAAAAATTAACTGTCACATGGCATCCATTTGTCTAAGATTCTACATCAGTGGCAAAACTAGATCAGTGACTTTAGTACAGAATTGAACTGTAGCTGTATCACGAGATTCTCATTTTTATCTTTTATTTTACTATTATAATACAGTAATTTGGAATTGTTTGTTTGTTCCTGCTGCAAGAGTATAAATGAATTTTTAGACTTTCTTTTGCAGGTCTTAGGTCAACTAAACTCTATACAGAAAGTGAGTTGTGTTGAGTCAACTACCTACCCATTTCTTCATTGATTTTATTGAGGAAATACAAAAAAATGGAGGATGAACTTACAGTTTACTGCAGAAGTGACTTTGTAATTATCAGTGACATTTTCTGCAATTAAAATTTCATTTCCTTGACTATTGTGAAGTAGTAGGAGTGTAGACTGGATGCAGTGTAGATTTGTTTCATAATTAATGCCCAATATTTTATATATATATAGAGCCAACAATTCAAAATGACAAACCAGCTACTAATTACTCACCCACACAGATCAATCAATCCAATGATGATCAACAAAAAGGTATAACCACTCACTGTCACTAGTTTCACATAATGTATTAATTTTATTTATTTATAGTTATATTGA